TTTATTCAATCTATATGCTGAGCAGATAATCCAGGAAGCTGGATTTTATGAAGAACGTGGCATCAGGATTGGAGGAAGACTCATTAACAATACGCAGATGACACAACTTTCCTTGCTGAAAGTGAGGATGACTTGAAGCACTTACTGATGAAGATTAAAGACTACAGTCTGCAGTCTGGATTACATCTCAATATAAAGAAAACAAAAACCCTCACAACTGGTCCAATAAACAGCTTCATGGTGGATGGAGGAAAGATTGAAGTTGTCAAGGACTTCATATTACTTGGTTCTACAATCAACACCCATGGAAGTAGCAGTCAAGACATCAGATGAAGTATTGCGTTGGCTAAATCTGCTGCAAAAGACCTTTTTGAAGTGCTGAAGAACAAAGATGTCTCTTTGAAGACAAAGGTGTGCCTTAGCCATGGTATTTTCGGTCTCCTCTTATGCATGTGACAGCTGGACAATGAATAAGGAAGACCAAAGAAGAGTTGATGCTTTTGAGTTGTGGTGCTGGAGAAGAATGCTTAGAATACTGTGGTTTGCTAAAAGGACTAACAAATCTGTCCTGGAGGAAGTACAGCTGGAATGCTCCTTGGAAGCAACAGTGGCCAGACTTTGCCTCACTTACTTTGGTCATGTTGTCACAAGGAAACATTCTCTGGAGAAGGATACCATGCTTGGTAAAGTAGAGGGTCAACGAAGAAGGGGAAGGCCTTCAACAAAATGGATAGACACAGTGGCTTCAATGATGGGCTCAGGTATAGCAAGGATCGTGAGGCTGACACAGGACTGGGCAGTGTTTCATTCTGCTGTGCATAGGGTTGCTATGAGTCGGAGACAACTCGACAGCACGTAACAGCAATAACAACAGCAACAACAAAAACAGTGTGATAATGAAAATTTTTGAACATGTTTTCCAGCAATGAATTAATAAAGTGCATCTTGACTAATCCGTGAGGTACAAAAAGCATTTATTTTTATTTTATGAAAATTTTCAAACGTAAAGATAAATACTACGAAACATTGACGTTTGATGTACCTATCATCCAGATTTAACATGGATCAAAATTCTTGCCACATTTGCTTCATTTATGTTTTCTTCCCCTTTGCTGAAGTAGTTTAAAGCAAATTCTGGACATAATGTCATTTCATGGTGTCATGCTTCGGTATTTATCTTCAAAATATATTTTCTGTTTTTAGCTTCCTTAGTATAGAAAATTTCAAGCAAAAGTATTAATAATATAATATGAAATCCCATATTACCGTCTCCCAGTTTCAACACTTAAGAACTCATAGCTGATCTTGGTATACTGGTACCTATTTGATTCCATCCCACTAGATTATTTTGAAGCATTTCATCTGCAAGTATTTCTATATATATTTGAAAGACAGGCTTTCCCTTTTAAATGATAGTCACAATGTTCTTATTGCTACATCTACACAAAATACTTAATATCATCAAATATTTTTGAGTATTTTCTTATATAACTACAATGCCATTATCATACCTAATAAAATTAACTGTAGTGAAATAGTATCTAGTTCATTATCAGATTTTCCCGCTTGTCTGAAAGTGCTTTTTATAAGTTAGTTTGTTAGAATTGGTTCACATATTACTAGTGGTTTTTGGGTCTCTCTCCCTTTCTCTTTTTTTTAATTGTGGTAACAATTAAAAACAATATGTAACAAATCGCTTGCCTTTCTCCTAAGGCGTCTTTTAATCTAGATTGGCCCTTCATTGCCTTTTCCCCACCTACCCACAGGCTAGTTGTAGAAACGGTCAGTTGTCCTGTGTCATATCCCATATTCACTATTTTCCTGTTTGCTTCTTTGTGGTATCATTTAACTTGTTCTTTTATCTGTAAATGGAAGTCTGCTGTGATAAGTTATTTTTATTTGGAATTTCTAGCCATGGTCTTGTAATAGCTACAGTGTAGTAATTGGGTGGAACTATGCATGTAAGGTGTTTGTGACCCACCAAGGGGATTGCACAGTTTGCTAATAATGCAAATAATGGAACCCTCTGGGAGTGGGACTGTGCAAATAAAATTTATGAAACCCTAACTATAGGATCAGGAGCTCTGGTAGCATAGTGGCTAAGGCATTTGACTGCTAACCAGAAGGCTGGTGGTTCAAACCCACCAGCCACTCCTCAGAAGGAAGATGGGGCAATCTATTTCCGTAGTGATACTGCCTCGGAAATCGAAGGAGGGGTCGCTATGAGTTGGGTCCCACTCGACGGCACATAACAACAACAACAACAACAACAGTAGGATCAGTCAGTTTTGCCATCCTGTTAGCCTTAAAAGAGAGGCAGTCCCAGAGCATGAGGTGGGCACACTTGACTACTACCAAGACAAAAACACAAGCGTGGAGCATGTCCTTTGGATGCAGGTTTCTGTACTTGGAACCTCCTAGATCCTGGAGACAGAGACCTGTAACACTGGAGATGGCAAGAGATGGTGAGAAGCAGTAGCAGAGAAATGGTGGCAGCAGAGACAGTAGAACCAGGACACCAGCAGGAGATGGTGTGTTGAATTTCCTGGCCCACAATAGAATAGAGCTGAGCACCTTTGGTCTAAGACTTACTGGCAGGATGGGATGACTCTGGACACTTGGTAGAGCTAAAGTATGGAGCTAAAGCTAAACAATTGGTGGAGCTAAAGAGCTTTGTAACTCTTGCCTGAGTAGGGCAGAGGCTAGGCTGATCCAGGAGCACTGAGGGCCCAAGGGGCTAAGGGCCAGAGAGAGGCCTGCTTGCGGTCTGCTGGGAAGAGGCTGTCCTGATTAATGAACTGAATCCTGATGTCATTTCTGATAATCTGTTACTTTCTTAATAAAACCCATAACTGTGGTGAGTATTGCTTGTGAGTGCTGTGTGGCCATTGTAATGAATTATTGAATGCATTTGAGAAGTAGAGAGTGCCACAGGAGGTAGCTGATGTCAGAATTGGTAAAAAGGTTGGAGAGAGGAGGTAATTATGACATAGGGAGGGCTGATGCTGATGGTTCTCTGTTAACCTGGTGAAGTCAGAGGAGGTCAAATGCCACTACCATGCCATTGTTATAAGAAGTTAGCTCTAGTGGCTTGATGTGATTCAAGTTCAACTTGTTTTGGTGAGAATAGCTGCTAAATGGTGTGTATGCTTTACATTCATCACAATGCCTGATTTTTTCACTTCTGATTATGCTAACATTTATAAAGATCTAAGAGTCTCATCCTTAAGTGGAAAATTTTCCCTCAAGCAGTCCTCTCATTACTTTATGTAGTCATTAGGATGTGAGCTCTGATAGTGGTAGTGCCTAAGGCATGTGACTGCTAACCAGAAGGCTAGCAGTTCAAACCCACCAGCCACTCCCTGGAAGGGAAGTTGGGCAATCTACTTCCATAATGATACCCGCCTCGGCAACCCAAGGAGGGATCACTGTGAGTCGGATTTGACTCTATGGCAGTGTGTGAGTGCATGAGTCACTAGGATGATTGTTCATGGGCCAGTTATTTCAGTAGGTATTATAAAATGGTCATTTTCTAGCTCAGTTTTTGTTTTAATAAAATTCACTGCTTTATTAGAGAACTTGAGTGTCTTTTCATAGCTTTAATGATTATTCAGTACTTCTTTTGTGAAATGTTCTTATGTGAACATTGACTAATTTTTCTTATCAGTTTGTGAGTTCAAAGATCATAAATGTTAATATTTCATTTGTTTTACAGATTATAGATTTTTTTTCTAGTTTGTCATCTGTTGCATTGTGGTCATTTTTTTTCCATTTTCATAGATTTTTGGTCTAAAATCATATTTAGTAATGCTTTCCGTACCCCAAAATAATGTAGGGGGATAGCTTATTTTCTTCTTAGTACTTCTTTCACATTTGATTTTTAATCTATATGGAATATATATAATATTCCAATTTTATATCCTGCATTTAGATAATCAGTTGTCCTAAAGTAATTTATTGAAAATCTTCTCCTTACCACATTTAATAAGATGCCACATTTATCATATATTAAATTTAAAAATTTACATAATATGTTTCTAGGCTGTTATATTCTATTAATATTATCAGTTTACTATGGAGTTTTAACTACAGTAATTTAGTACTATGCTTTAAGGTCCAGTTCACTGTTATTAATCATTGTTTTCAATCTTCTATACTTTTGAACTTAGAAATTGATTTGTGAGTTAATTCAATTTAGATTTAAATCTGATGGCATTAAGTTTGGGGGAGAACTCACTCCCTCCTTTTTTTAAAGTAAAAATAAGCCTTTCCATTTGAGAATGTAATTTTTCTTTCATTATTTAAGTCTTTTATATTATTTAATTAATGAGCTAAAGTAAAGCATGTACCCTGTGTAATAAGTTTATTTGTAGACATTTTATAGAATTAGTTTGGTTATTTTGTGTTTGGGCACAAAATAATTTATTAGTGATTATTTGGATTTTGACTATAGAGTAGTTTACTTCAATTTTGCTCAGATACAACAATTATACTTTAAAATGTATATAAGTAAGATTAGAAGCAATGTACTGTATACTTAAGAGAATATACTTTGAAAGTAAACTTTTTTGAAATTTCTTATTTTAATCATTAATGCAACAAATAAAGTTGAATTAAAAGCTAGAAATGTAAATTTTTGAGAACTGATAAATTTGTATTTAATTGTTTATAAAGGATAAAAGTAATAAAACAGTACTTGAAAGTAATAATTGGCCCTTAAAAGAATAAAAATTCTGTAATGAGATTTCTTTTGCATTCTAGTTGGAACGTAACTAGTATGGTCTTTTACTATGAAAAACTTCTTCATTGACAGTTTTTAATTTTTAAAGACCAGTTAAAACTACATTCTTTTAACTTGGTGCCTTAAAAATCAGAAGGGTACAATTTATCGGCTTTGTTATTGGCCTACGTTCTTCTGTTTATGAATATTGTGAATAGAAGTAATATATTCTTGGCAGATTAGACATTACTGTTAATTTTTTTTCTTTCTCATATTATAGGTTTTGCAAAAGACATCAAATTAAATCGAGTTCAAATATTCCCTGTGTCCCCAAAGACTTACTGATGATGTCTGAATTTGTTCTTCCAAGATTTATTTTTTGTCTTATTCAATACTTAAGAGAAGGCTATAACGAACCAGGTATGTTTGAATATACTCCTTGTCAATACTCTTTTTAACTTCCCAGTTAACAAAGTTTTAGTATTAATAATAAAGTTTTAGTGTTAATTATACAGTTTTAGTAATTCTTTCAGATATTCCTTTTTTGCTTAACATTTTCAATGAGAAGCCTATAAAATACACATACTGCATGAAAACACACTAAAAAACCAATTATATTGCAGCACCGATACCTTGTGGTAGGTATAGTCTGGTACTTTCTAGTCCTAGGGTCTTAGATGTTTTTGATTAAACTTACTTGGTCTTTTGCAGATGAAGAAATAATCATTTTATGGGATAAAATGACTTTATTTGGGATCATAAGATGATAGAGCAGAATTAAGAAGTCTTAGAAGTATTCAAATTTAACTTAGATTTCTTAGAAGAAAAATTTCATTTCATGAATCTTTGTTATTGTTATGTTTGGTAGAGGTCTAAATGTATATTTATTTCCCTTCATATATATAACAAGGAACTCTGGTGGCACAGTGTTTAAGCTCTTGGCTGCTAACCTAACCCACCCTGCTGCCCTGAGGGAGAAAGACCTGGTGATCTGCTCTTGATCAGACTACAGCCTGGAAAACCCTATAGGGCAGTTTTGCTCTGTTACATGGCGTCACTCTGAGTCAGAAGTGGTTTGATGGCATCTAACAACGACATATGTATATATATGTATGAGGGGGTTAGATTGCGCACTCTCATCTTGCTGACAGCATGTACTGGTGTAAGCATTATGTTTGTATTAATAAGACAGAAGTTCTCGTTACAGGTTTTTTAAGATATAGTCACAATCTTGATTAAGATACTTTTTTTTTTAAGTAAAATTAAGCCTTAAATATTTGGATTTAGGCATCCTTTATTAAAGTCCTCGTGTTGACATTGTGAACTACACATTTCAGTTAGTGATATAGAACACATTCATTAACTTTTCATGATGCCTTTTACCTTCCTAATGATTCCTGCATTTTCATTGTATAAGAGATCACATTTTTGCATTATGTGTGTTGTGCCACAGCATTATGTATGTGCCGTGGAGTCGGATCCTACTCATAGCGACCCCTCCTTGGGTTTCTGAGGCGGTATCTCTACGGAAGTAGATTGCCCAACCTTCCTATAGAGATTTAAATTATTTAATTCTCTAAATAGTTTTATGAATTTTTTTTTTAAAAATGGCATACTTTTTTATCTTTATCTATCCCTCATTTTCAAAGTGTGAGGAAATATATCTTTATCATTTATGAAACTATCTAGTTATCTTTATTGTGAGCAAACCATGAGTTCCTTATTTCTACATTTTAAGCAAAATATGCAATCTTTTGTTAAGGATTTCTACTGCTTTCAGAGTATATACCTTAAAACATAGAAAGAAACATTAATTTGATTTTGTACCAAACTGCTGTTTCTTTGGAATGATGGAAATAAGTAATCAACTGGTTACTGAAATTGTCTTCTACAACTAGTTAACACACTTTTTGGAAATTTACCTTTTGTTTAAAATCAAATCTAGTGCAAGTGTCTTTTTTTTTTTTTTTAGGATTTGGGTGAAGATTTACAGAGTAAATTCACTTTTCATACAGCAGTTCACATATACTTTGTCTCATGTCATTGACCAAAATTTACAATGCAGCAGCTCCCCTCCCACTTCCTCCCCATAGTTACCTCCTCCCAGTGTCCATCCCTTCATACTCTTCTGCACCCTGAGCTATCTCCCGTGCATAAGCAGCCCTTCCTTCTCCCATGATTGTTCTCTCCAGGGCGTGTGTCTACTTGAGGTAAATGTTTAACTCACATTAGTGCAAGTGTCTTATTTTAGAAAAGTAACAATTAGAAGTTGTTTATTATGAGAACCATAAAGTTTAATCAAAGACTACAAAAAAGTGTTTTATTTTTTTCCTTTGGTGATATTTAGCAGTTAGAAAAGGTGATGACATAAATATATAGCTTTGATAATTCTCTGACCATTATTTGGAGACATGAAGGAATGAATAGAGGCACTTTTTTTTTTAATGAAAACAATTCTTTTGTCTTAGTTCCTTTTGGTCTTCTGCTAACATATGTCTACATTTTCTGAATATGATAAGGAGTGGGATATTCGCTACACAGGTTTTTTAAAACTGAAATAAGTTTGTTCTAATATACTACTTGTAATATATTTGAATTCTATCTTGGTTTATTCTAGAGAGTGATCTTGACTTTTTCTTAAACATGATCTTATTTTGAAACTTCACCCCTACTACTTCTTATGCAAATTAAGTGCATTTCACCCCTCCTGCTTCTTTTGCAAATTAATGCCATATGGGGTCATTTTTTTTTTCTTCATATCTGCCTTTTGTCAGAGGACTGTGTTCCCGAGGACGTTTAGGTGCTATGCTGATGCTAACTTTCTAAACAGAGTTCTTACATTGTTTTTTTTTAAATTTTTGATTGTAAAATTCTATCATTTAGGCCACTACAATTTTAAAAGACTGATAATTGTTATTCTTAGCAAAGAAATTTTTAAGAAAGTTACCCTTAATTATTTGTGTTTTTAGCAGCTGATGTACCATCAGAAAAAGATCTCAACAAAGTCCTTCAGCTTTTGGAACCTCAAATTTCCTTTTTAGAAGACCTAACTAAAATGGGAGGAGCAATGAGGTCTGTTCTTACTCAGGTTTTGATAAATCAACAAAACTACAAAGATCTGACTTCTGGTGAGTAAAATATTAGAATTTAAGAGAGTTATTGTAATCTACTTGTATAACTAACTATAATCATAAGAAATTATTTTTTTAGAACTTAAGAATAAAATGTAGGCTTTTCATAGAATGTTAAAGCTGAAAATTTTTAAAAGACTGTATTTTATGGACATGGAAACCGAGCCCCAGAAAAATTAAATGGCCTATTCAAGACCTCATAACCAATTTATGTTGGAGTTGGAACTAGAACCCAGTCTCCTAGCATCTGGTATGACATATTTATAATTATACTCTGCTTCCCCTCCTGCAAACAATAAAAACAACTTCTGTATCCTCGTTTTGGTATTCTAAACTTTTGGATTATTTTAGAAATAATACAGGGTTGAAGTTGTAAACCTTGGAATTGTTGAATGTGTGTGTACATGATATACGATTTACAAAATAGTTTTTTACCTTTCGTTAGCTGAAATTTATAGTAAAATAAATATATCAGTTATTTAAAATTATTTAAATAAATCGATTATTTATTAACAATAAAATATTGTTATAAATATTTTAAATATTTGCTGGACCATGAACAGCATGTTTTGAAAATTAAAGTTCATTTTTTTTAGGTTGGTAAAATTTTCATGCAAATCATGTATTATGTCTTATTTAGAGATGGTGTTATTTGATATATTTATTTCTTTAATAAATACTAACTGCCTACTATGTGTGCTTTGCTCTGGGTTAGGTACTATAGGTTGAGATGAGGAAGGTTAGCAGTAAACCAGGTACTCCTTTCCCTGTCCTTATAAGCATATGGTCTTGTGAATGAGATATTAATAAAATCCCAAACAAAAAATTATATAATTATAATTTATAGTAAATGTGATGCAAAAATAGGACAAGTGGTTATAAAATAGAGGCCTAATTTCACTGGTAGGGGTAGTGCAGAAGCTTTGCTAAGGAAGTGATATTTATGGAAAAATCTAAAGGTTATTATGAGTAAGTCATTTAACTACAGGTGAGGGAAGTTGGATGTTAATAGAGTAGGGTTAGATTGCAATCAGGGGGAATATTCTGCTTTTGACCACTGGACTAGACTTTCTGTTATAAACAGCATAAAACTGTACAAAATGTGATGTATGTTTTTAAATATTATACCCTGAGAGACTCGATGTGGGTGGAGTAAAGCCTTCGGGATGTTTATTTGCTGATGTGCCATGACTCAAAATAAGAAGAAACAGCTGCAAACATTAATTAATAACTGGAAAGTAGAAAGTATGAAGTATGAATCCAGGAAAATTGGAAATTGTAAAGGAATGCATAAAGATCAATGTCATAGGTATTCAAACAAACAATAAAACATACTCACTGCCATCAAGTTGATTCTGACTCATAGCGACTCCCATTGGGTTTCCAAGGCTGTAAATCTTTATGGAAGCAGACTGACTCATCATTCTTCTGCACAGTAGCAGATGAGTTTGAACCTCTGACATTTTGGTTAGCAGTTCATTGCCTTAACTACTTCACCACCAGATATCCTGTCCTAGGCAGTAATGAGCTGAAAGGGACTGATATTGGACATTTGGACCAGACAATCATATCGTTTACTATGTCGGGAATGACAAGTTGAAGAGGAATGGTGTTGCATTCATCATCAGAAAGAACATTTCAAGATCTGTCCTGAAGTATAATGCTGTCAGTGATAGGATACACCTTCAAGGAAGAACAGTTAATAATAATATTCAAATTTTTGCACTAACTACTAAAGCCATAGATGAAGAAATTAAAGTTTTTTATCCCCCACATGAACCACATTTTATTAAAGAGAGAGGAGAAGGGAGGGGCTCTTGTCTGTGCTAGTATCTCTCCAAGAAATTGAAGATTTTTACCGACTTCCACAGTCTAAATTTGACCAAATAGGCAGTCAAGTTGGATTAATAATTACTGGCAATTAGAGTGCAAAAGTTAGAAACAAGAAACATCAGTAGTTGGAAGATATGGCCTTGGTGATAGAAATGACTCCAGAGACCACATGATAGAATATTGCAAGACAAGTTACTTACTCATTGCAAATACCTTTTTTTCAACAATATAAATGGTGACTATACAAGTGGACCTCACAGATGGAATACATGGGAATCATATTGACTACATCTGTGAAAAGAAGGGAGAGAGAAGCTCAATGTCATCAGTCAGAACAAGACTAGGAGTTGATTATGGAATAGACCATCAGTTGCCCATATTCAAGTTCACGTTGAAACTGAAGAAAATTGAAACAAATCCATGAGAGTCAAAATATGACTTTGATTATATCCTACCTGAATTTAGAGACCATCTGAAGAATCAATTTGACGGATTGAACACCAGTGACCGAAGGTCAAAGGAGTTGTGGGATGACATGAAGAGCGTCATAAAGGAAGAAAGCAAAAGGTCATTAAAAAAACAGAAAAGGAGAAAAAGACCAAAATGGATGTCAGAAGAGACTCTGAAACTTGCTTTTGAATGAAGGATAGCTAAAGTAAATGGGAGAAATGATGAAATAGAAGAGCTGAACAGGAGATTTCAAGGGGGGCAGCTCAAGAAGACAAAGCAAAGTATTGTAATGAAATATGCATAGACCTAGAATTAGAAAATCAAAAGGGAAGGCAATTGTCGGAATTTCTGAAGCTGAAAGAAATGAAGAAAATATTCAAGCCTTGAGTTGCAATATTGAAGGGTTCTATGAGAAAAATATTGAATGATGCAGTAAGCATCAAAAGAAGATAGAAGGAATACACAGTGTCACTGTCCCAGAAAAGAAATGGTTGACATTCAGCCATGTCAGGAGGTAGCATATGATCAAGAACCCGTGGTATTGAAAGAAGAAATCTAAACTGCAGTGAAGGAATTGGTGAAAAACAAGACCCCAGGAATTAATAGAATATCCATTGAGATGTTTCAACAAATGGATGCAGCAGTGGAGGTTCTCACTTATTTATGCCAGGAAATTTGGGAAACAACTACCTGGCCAACCAGCTGTGCCTATTCCAAAGAAAGATGATTCAACAGAATGTGGAAATTATAGAACAAAGTCATTAATACTACACACAAAAGGAGCTCTGGTAGCGTAGTGCCTAAAGCACTTGACAGCTAACCAGCAGGCTGGTGGTTCAAACCCACCAGCCACTCCTTGGAAGGAAAGTTGGGCAATCTACTTCCATAGTGATACTGCCTCGGAAACCCAAGGAGGGGTTGCTATGAGTTGGGGCCGGCTCGACAGCACAGAACAACAGCAACAACAACAACACTACACACAAGTAAAATTTTGTTGAAGGTATTTTAAAAACAGTTGCAACAGTACATCAATAGGGAATTGGTTAGAGATTTAAGCCAAATTCAGAAGAGGGCATGGAATAAGGGATCATCACTGATGTCAGATGGATCTTGACTTAAAGCAAAGAATACCAGAAAGATGTTTACCTGTGTTTTATTGCTATGCAAAGGCATGTGACTAGGTGGATCACAACAAATTATGCATAACATTGTGGAGAATGGGAATTTCAGAACACTTAATTGTTCATAAAGAACCAGTTGTTCAAACAGAAAAATGAGAAACTGTGAAAGGGGTAGGGAGGCTCGATTTTCTGACCTCCTCTAACCCCACAAGAGGAAGACAGAATCACCATCAGTAGCCCAAGGCCTATTCCTGCGAGGCCAGACATGCTGCCTCCCACCAACCCTGATACCAACCATTCTTCCTGCAGCACCCACCACCTCTCTGCTGGATTCGATAATTCGCTGCAGTAGCCACATAGAACTCACATATTATGGGGTTTATTAGGGAAGCAACAGGCTACAATTCAAGTTCAGGAACATGCTCAGTCTCCTTCAACCACCACCTCTCAGATGACCGTTTCTCTCAGTCTCTCAATGTCTGTCTCAGCAACATGTGTCTCTTGTGTCTCTCAGCAGTGTGTGTGTGTCTTGTGTCTCTCAGCTGGCAGTGAGAGATTCCTTCTGACTTTAGGAGGGCTCCTTTTGGAGCAAAGTGGCCACACTAACCAATATGAACATCAGAATTCTATATACCTGAGAGAGAGAGAGAGAACTTCCCAGAAGATTGCTTCATGCCACTCTCAACAGAAATACCCCAGGTGGATAACTTTAACAATTAGGAGCTACTAAGTTCATCATGGAAAATTCTGCCATGGAGTTTACAAAGACTGTGGCTAGAAAAGCAATATTATATAATTTACTACACTGTAAATACTTAATGGTTACTATCAGGAAAGGTGTGTATCGGCATTGTATCCTCTCACTGTACTTATTCAAAGTGTACACTAAGCAATTAATCTGAGGAACTGTACTATATGAAGAAGAACTTGATGCACTATATGAAGAAGAATCCTGATGAGGATTGGAGGAAGATTCACTTAACAGTCTGTGGTACACAGATGATACAACCTTGCATGTTGAAAATGAGGATGACTTGAAACACTTACTGGTGAAGATCAAAGATTATAGCCTTCACTATGAATTACACCTCACCATAAAACAAAAATCCTTACAACTGGACCAATAAGCAACATCATGATAAATGGAGAAAAGATTAAAGTTGTCAGATTTAATTTTACTTGGATCCACAATCAATGCTCATGGAAGCAGCATTCAAGAAATCAGATGACGTATTTCACTGAGCCAGCTGCTACAAAAAGACCTCTTTAAAGTGTCTTCTCTCAGTCAGAGATGTCACTTGACCCAAGCCATGCCATTTTCACTCTTCTTATCTGCATGTGAAAGCTATAGAATGAATAAGGAAGAGTGAAGAAGAATTGATGCATTTGAATTGTGGTTCTGCAAATAATACTTAAAATACCATGAACTGCCAGAAGGAACAAATCTGTCTTGGAAGAAGTACAGCCAGAATGCTCCTTAGAAGCCAGAATGGCCAGACTTTGTCCCCTGAACTTTGGTCATGTTGTTAGAAGAGACCATTCCCTGGAGAAGAATATCATGCTTGGTAAAGTAAACGGTCAGCAAAAAAGGGGAAGACCTTCAATGGGATGGATTCACATAGTGACTATAATGATAGGCCCAACCATAGAAAAGATTGTGAGAATGGCATAGGGCTGGGCATTGTTTTGTTCTGTTGTACATAGGGTTGCTATGAGTTGGAGCTGACTCAGTGGTATCCAACAACAATGACAACCCTGAGAGAAGAGAAAAGCATGAAATGAGGCCTGCGACTGCTCTGGCTGGCTGTCTTTGGACAATTTCCTGACTATAATGTAGCAAGATAATGTCTAAGCAGAGATGTGGTCTTGTTGAGCTTAGAACACAGGTATCAATCAGAGTTTGGGGCAGCTGAGGCAGTTGTAATCTATAGAAACTATGGGCCAGTACACTAGCGAGGTGGTGAGGAAGATGTGTGGGTGTCTTCTGAAAGTCTTTGAGAACACATGGAAAAGATGAGACTATCTGAGGCTTACTAGAGAGTGACTACTACAGAGTTGATAGCAGAACAGAGATAAGAGGTTGGATGGTGCAAACACGGCAAGGAGGCCACATGTTCCGACCTCCTCTAACCCTAAAAGAGGAAGACAGGATTACCAGCAGTAACCCAAGGCCTATTCCTGCCAGACCAGACATGTTGCCTCCCTCCAGCCCTTTCACCAACCGTTCCTCCCAAAGCACCCCCCACCTCTCTCCTGGGTTCGATAATTCACTGCAGTGGCCACACAGAACTCTCAGATTATGGGGTTTATTAGGGAAGCACCACAGGCTACAATTCAAGTTCAGGAAAAATGCTCAGTCTCTCTCCCAGCCCACCGTCCCTCGGCCA